TCACCATTTTTGCGTTCAGGTAATTGAATTCGGTTTTTGCGTTTTTGCACTTACCTCAACCGCTCATAAACAAGGCAATCGAGGTACGAAGAACAACGCGAAGATGAACCTTGATAGCCCTTGCTCATTCAATACTTGAACCAAMATTTTTGAGACTGACGACCTCATTCCGAGTCGACAAATTTWAAAAAGTGGCGGTGCGCTGGCAACGAAAAGCGCAACACAGTGAAGGTCCATCAAAAAGGCAGATCACAGAAAACATTCTCACCGTGAGCAAATCTACTCGAAAATTGCCGAGTSAAAACTCAACGACCCGTCGCTGAGGTCTTCCTAGAGGCAACATGAAACAAAACCAGAACATGGTCTTSMAWTTTTTKGTGGTAGTGTTAGTAGCTGATGTTCCAACATCCAGTTCGTTCGTCGAACACTTCCGAAATTGTAGGATAAGAGGATCAGGATTCCCAAAATTTGGTCGATTCGATCGTCATAAATCTACGATTTTGATGACACAGCGAGGGGCTTACGACCAGAGAGATCAAAACGAAGGAAAYGGAGACGAAATTTATCAGGAGAGGACGAATGGCAGGTATAGCAACGGCAATGATGCGAATGCTCTCGGACAAAACAACACAAACTCCAGATTCAACCAGGAAGCAGATGTCCGAACTGGTAGTTTCAGCAACGTGCGACAAGCAGAGAGTGATGGCAACCAAAAACCGTTTATCCCGCCTAGGCTCAGCCAGAGTCCCGATCGCGCAATCAGCATTGTATCGGAACTGAAATCGAACGCCGCGTTGTTTGCTGCCTTTGCCTACGGATCGCTCAATTTACCCGGCACACTAACGGTATCCGAAAGCAAAGTCACATCCGTTACTACTTCTCTTTCTGTTTCCAGGCCACTACCAGACTCGGACCTCATTAGGACCTTTGTTGTCCTCGATATATCCACACTTTGTCTGATGATTTCGTGTGTTGCTGCCTCTCAGTTACTCATCTACCGCTTGACCGATGGAAGCTACGAAGATGTGGACGAGTTCAGCCTACAAGATGATGGGCGTGACGTAGAGTCAGCTAGTTACAGAAAGAAGAAAAACTCGAGAGAATCAGCACTGGGGCGTCTAGTGACAACCTACCGAAACGAGTTCACAGTGGCGCGGATCACATTCGAYCTCGGATTGGTGACCTTGTTGTTGGCGGTGGGAGTGAGATCCTTAGCCATTTTCGATGAGGATATTGTCGTGCCCGTGGCATTCGTTTTAGGTCTAACTTCCATCTTCTTGGCCGTGGCATATTTAACCACCTACGTCGAAGTATTTCGGACCGCGGAGAACCTACCCGAACGTCCTCTGTTCTCCATAGCATTTCCATTCTTGACGAAGGGTAGCRAGAAGARAACTGATGAGATCAAGATTGATGCCGTTGACAAGAGTTTAAGYCAGATGATCCCTCAGATTGTGCTGCCTGTTTCTTTGACTTCGATTGGATTGGGGCTCTTTTTAGGTCTCAATGATGGGTCTGGTTCCTCTGAGTCCAATCTATCTCGCCTAGGTCCCTACGACGTAACCTCGGGAGCAACTAAGTTACGTGTGGTTACGGASAAGATCGATTCGGAGAAGGCAAAACTGGACGCAAAAGCAAAGAACCAACGCATCGAGGAACAAGAACAGCTGCGGAAAAAACGAGCCGAACGAAGGGCCGCTGACACCAGAAAGAAAGAAAAAGCAAAGCGGKCATCGGTAAGAGCGGAAGCCGAAGCTGCGAAGAAGAAAACAGCCGAGGAAGATGCTACGAAGAAGGCCGAGGCAGAAGCAAAGAAGAAGCTGGAACAAGAGGCGAAACAGAAAGCAGACGAAGAAGCAAAGCGCAAGGCAGAGCAAGAAGCAAAGCAGAAGGTAGAAGAAGAAGCCAAACGCAAGGCAGAGCAAGAGGCAAAGCAGAAGGCAGAAGAAGAAGCAAAACGCAAGGCAGAAGATGAGGCGAAACTGAAGGCCGAAGAAGAGGCCAAAACGAAGGCAATGGAAGAGGCAAAGAGCAGAGCTGAAGAAGAAATGAAAAGGAGGACAGAAGAAGAGGCGAAAAAGAAGGCAATGGAAGGAGCAAATGCCGCTGCCGAGGAGGCAAAGATGAAAACAGACGAAGCACCGCCATCGGTATCAGYAACCGCAAAAACCACACTCTAAATTTCAAATGGAGCGATTAGATAGATAGACGAGAAAATACAAACCGGAATCCCTATTGGGGTTGCATGGTGCTATTGTGTGTCTTGTTGATACGGTAGCATTGTGTGATAGAAAAAGTAAACAGAATAAGTTGGTGCTATTGATATTTTATGCCGCCCATGAATTCCCTAGCAYCCGGAACGCTCCCGTTAAAGTCGGCGCCACTAAAGTCGAAACCCGGATTTTCTTCGTTGAACCGTTGCAGCATCAGGTCTTTTTTGACCTGCTCCTTGGAAAAGGGATCCATGGTGGTTCCGCAAGAAGAGCTTTGAGTTCCGGTTCCAGTTGCGTGTGCAGTACGACCACCTGCCGATGGGTTGGGATTCCCTTTCAGTGCTGCCTCCCAAGCGGAACCGCGATTCGCTTTGATGAGGGTGACGACGATGATCTTTCTCCGAGTCACTCCTTTGTGGTTGCCGTCGCCATCGTAGTCTTCCAGTGTCCACGTCGATTCGTCGACGTCTACCGTACCACMGGTGGCTTCGTTCAAAAACCATTGGCGTTGGTTGTCCTTGTTCCCACCGCTRTTTCCGACGCTGTGRCCCACCAGACCGAGCTTGAAATGATTTGCCGAGATCCTGCAATCGATCTGGTTTCCCCTCGTGACATAGGGCGGAGGGAGGATGTAAATTGTCATCTCGTCGAGGCTCTGCTCGAATTCGTAGACGRTCCGGCCGTTGTATTCGAAACGGTACCGCCCCGAGGTTTCGTCGCGCCGGATGGCGGCACCGAGACTCGGCCGTGCGGTCGCGCYGTGCTTGTTGTCCGCAATRCGGGATACTCCGGGAGGCAGCGACGGGGAGGGTGAAGCAGCAGCAGCCATTTCTGCCGTGCTCTTGTCGTTTTCCTCGACAGCAAGCTTTCGATCGTTGTCGCTGTCGTTGTCGCTGTCGTCTTCCGTCAAGTGATCAAATTTGGAGTAATCAGTTAGCTTACTCATGATGGGCAAACAATAGTGATGTTCGCGTCTTCTAAGATTGCTTTGGCTCGATAGTGTCGTACTGTATCAGATGCATTTAKCAGTGATGTTTGTTGTTGCAGACGACTCGACAATTTTTGTACACGAGCCCGATTAGATCCGTTTTCAGTTTGCCCGCAATTTCCTATGAACCCGATCGAGGCTGTTTCAGTTTGTTCCGCGATCGTGATGGCCGATTAGTAGTGATTAGTAGTACGGGTACTGTGCACTGGTACCGTCACAAGTTGTGCGCAGACGTACTGGGCGGTACGAGTAGCTACATACTATTGTAAGTTTCGTGTGAGGGGAGGTGCGGGAAACTTTCATTTTCCTTCGATCGATCTTCATTTACGGCTTTGAGTTCGTAACTGRTACTGAACATAGGTACAGTACGTACTAATAGTCTGAAATGTTCTCCGCTCCCTTCACTGGCATGGCTGGGCCCAGTCCAGTACCGTAGTACGTACCGATAACGAGAACGTTCTGTACTTGTACGTACTCGTACTCGTACGTTTTGTCTCCTGCAAATTACACCCTTTAGGTCCCATACCAACATACCATACGTATGTCAACCTGATAAGTACAGTACTTCCGAATTCCGAAGGCTCTTGCTTCTTTGTTTTTTGTGAGCTCATTTTTGACATCTGCAGCGTTGATACCTGCTCTGCTGCTCACCAGGATGCCGACAGAAGGCCGTTCTCTCGAACTTTTTGGTCAACAAGAAGCCGGAGCATAATGGCAATGGACCCACCGACAACACACTAGCAATTCAGATACTCTCGTCATGGGACCAAGCACACAACAAACAATCRTTCTTGCAATGTCATTGTATCATCACGAAACAACACACATAACAAGACGCACAACACATAGCAACTTTTAGAAACTGAACTGCAACCGACCAGATTGGGGAGAATTAGTTTTCGAACGATACGAAACGAACGGAATACAGTACCTGTTCTCGGAAATATGGCGCAGGCTGAGGACGGGGACAAGACAATCCCGGTCGAGCTCCCCGACAGCGAWAAGCCCACAACCGGGACCATCAGCAACAGAAGTACCAGAAACAGTCACAACAACAACAACAATCGGCACAGCAATGCACCGGCGGAGATTGCGCAAGATCCGCCGTTGAACGATAGTGCCAGCGATATTGGCGACGACAGAAAACTAGCGGCGGAAGCTTCGATTGGATCCTTGGGAGCCTCTGCCGATACAAAGCATCCAGCAGAGAACTTCAACGAAAGCAGTAACTACAATTACGGCGGAAACGACACTATCGGAAACGTCGATGGCACCAACGCCGGTCCGGAAGTCATTGTTGTCGGTCCGGTTGCCGACACCACTCGGGCTGTTTCTTCCGCTTCACTAATGGGATCTTCGGAGGTAAGGCAGGCTATAGAATAGAGGATGTTTCATTTTAGATTGCAATGTAATTGAGCATGATCTACAGTACTCGGAATCCAATGTTGGGAACCAAGCCAAAAAACCTCTGCGGTTCTGTTCGATTTTCAAAAGGCAATAGCATATCCAAAGGCTTTTAATGCTGTCCTCTAATTTGCCACCATCTCACTTTCTTATCTTGTTTGCTCGCATGTTGGATTTTGGATGTTGAATCTTTGTTATTGGTCGATATTCGAAACAATTCAATCCAAATAATTGCAAACGGCGGAAACAATATGAATACTGAATACTGCAACAAACACACATGTTCGATCTACAGGAAGAAAGTGTCGCTGAACTCGGAACCATCGAGCAGCACGATGTCGGCGCAGAGGAAGCGGTGCAAGGAGATTGTAGCGACGGCAATATCGCGGACAATAAGCGAAGGAAGGAAAGAAAGCAACACAAAGAAGTCGAGGGCGAAGGTGGAAGATCAGTATCGTCGCCTTCTTCCTCGACACTTCCTCAGCAACGACAAAGAGAAGGACATCAAAATCAGCGAGATGAGTACAATAGCACTCATAACAGTGATGGTAATAGCGCTGGAATGTGCACGGACCCTATTTCCCCACATCCCTCGTCTATGCCGGTAGCTCCGCAGCATTGCACGCACGCACCAACTTCGTTGCCTACTTTCAATGAGCCAAGGTCCTGCATGTGGACATCTTCCCATGCTGCCAATGCACCATCGGAAGATCGAAGTGCTTCTCTCGTCAATGTCCTCCTCCAACCCCTCCCTCATACCAACTTTGATTCCGAAACGCAAATACAAGATAATTTCAATGATGGTGAGTACCGTTCGCTCATCCGCTTGAATCTTTGGTCGGTCATTGACGGACATGGTGGTGGATGTGTTGCGACCTATGCCTCGGAGGTACTATTGCCACACATTGCGGCCTCAATATCGAGAGCGATGGGATGTGCAATTGTCAGCCGTGGGGTTTGCTTGGTCAACGGACAGCTCAGAGACGCAAACGCTCTGGATCTCGACGGACTTATCAAAACTACCGGATCAGATCGAAGCCAATCAAACCCAAACTCGATACATTATCGATCTCCGTATGAGGCTACGGCGAACATGAGCAACACAGACTTTTCCGACAAGGACGACGAAGATGACGATGACAACGCCACAAAACCGAAAGTGGTGGAGGTGAAACAACGAAAACGTCAACGCGGGCCCAAACACCCAGTTCCAATCGGAGACCATCCGCAACACCAACACAACAACAGCGATATCCGATCCCATGGCTGTGGTGTGCCCTCTCCGGCTTCTGCCACGCCCTCGCAACATGCATCTCCGTCCCCATTGCAGCAGCGACAGCGACCACAGCAACAARCGCGATCACGTCGACTCAGCACAGATGATACGAGAGCCGAAGTAACATCTTCCATCAACCGGTCCGAATCTTCCGTCAAGACCTCCGTCAAGACCTCGGCATCGGTTGGCGTCGCGAGAGATGGTGCCCCGCCGGGGACGCATTCGCCCCAAGAGCAATCGGCCATCATCAATGCAATTACCCAGTCCTTCTTGTCGGTTGACGAGGGATGGATTAACTCCATCGATCCGGTTGCTACCCATCAAACCTCGTGCCAATCCAATGGCAGATGGAACAGCGGTGCTTGCGCTCTTACCGTTATGAGTGTCCARAGGCTAGAGTGGACCAGCGTTTCGTCGTCATCGGAAAGGCGGAACAACGAAGACGAATACGATGGTGGCGGCGGCCTGGGGGCAGGAGATGGGGGAGACGGTGGTCATGATACGTCGCAAAACAAAGACGCAGCTCGACGCAGAAGAATCGATCACAACGAAAATCGTGCTCTGAAGATGGCCAGTTCTCTCAGTACGATCTCGTCAACATCTTCTCTCACAACCACGGACGACAGGATACACAACAATGCCTCGGGACTAGAATCGGAAATCACCGAAACAGAAGGAGAAGAAGACGACCACAGCGGTCGCGACAGTGGAGACAAACCCAAGAAATCTCGGTGGCGGACCAATCCACACCATTCCGCGCGAAATGACTCTGCCAATGTTCCCAAAGCGTCGCTCATCAGCGCTCCCGGTGGATGTTCCTGCCATTGCTACCGTGCCTACGATGCAATGCTGTACACTGCACACGTCGGAGACTGTAGAGCGGTCATGTTGGGATCGGCACCCCCGAGAACCATCAATGTTCGCGGTTCCGCGTCTTCGACGAAGTCGACTGGCACAACCAACGCAAGTCCGATTGGCACCGGTGGTCCGGGAAACCAAACCGACGACGAATCGAGCCATCATAGCTCGGACGAGGTACGTTACCAGCAACAAAATCATATTTCGTATTCTTTCTTGTTTGGCTTTTCCTTCTACCACTTGCACCTCGCTGCATGTGGCTGCATGTGGCTGCATGTGGCTGCACTTGGAATCCGAAATGGAAGTAACAGAAACCATTAGTGTCTATCTTTGAGCGAAAACGAGCTGATGGCTGTATTTTCCTTGTTCTCTATATTCTTGCGGCTCGTAATTCGTCTCAACCAAGACCGAATGCTTGAGCAGTTCCGACCATGACGCCGACAGCAGCGATGACGAAGATATCATGTTGGGAATAGAGGATCGRCAGCGTCGCCAGAACAATCCACATCTCGATGGATCGGCAGCCGTTACAAAATCGACCGTTGCCGCAGGCAATTCGAGCAGCGCATCTGCCCCGTACATGACACTGATGCGCGGTCGACAGCCTGCYCGACCTCGGCGATCACGTCGCCGACGATACGAGGATCTAGGCATGGCAGCTCCATACATTGCTCTTCCACCACTGGAAAGCTTCCGTTCGATCGAAATCGAAATCGATCCCGATTACGAAAAAAATCAGAGAAGACGCCATCGCCATCGAAACCACAGTAACAGCAGCAAAAGCAAAAATGGCAGCAACGACAAGAACGATGGTGTCAACAACGGGAAKGGTCTATCGGCCAATGGCAACAACGGAGAGCAATCCGAGGCTTCCTCCTCTTCGTCGTCGTCCCCATCTTCGCAAGACAGCCGAGAGTTCCCTCCGGCAATTATTTTGCCACCTAACGTCCGTCCTATTGATCTCACGACRGATCACTCTGCCTACAACCCGTAAGTTTTTCATAGTTATCGCAGTGTCGTATAAAGGCCCTCAGTGTACTGATTTTGCTTCTTGTCATGTCATTCTCACCCTCACTATTGTTTCTTTTTCTTGCTATATATTTGCCTGCTTTATTCCAGTGCTGAAGTTACGGCGGTCCTTCGTCGTTGCAACAATGCTCCTCGTGCCATTTCGGCGGGCTTGGGCGGGGGGATCAAACGAGTGGCGGGTAGTTTGGCAGTAACAAGAGCACTTGGAGATGCTTACCTCAAAACTCCACGTTTGTCCTTTTTCCCCTACAAAACCCACACTCCATACATTACTGCTCGACCCGAAGTAAATTGTCGGCCCCTCGTAAAGGGAGGTGACAAGGTGTTGATGCTTGCTACCGATGGAGTTTGGGAACGGGCGGGTGGGGAAGATGTGCTGAGATGGTTACGAACATTTTACTCAGAACGGCTGGCCGAAGCCGAGCGACGGAAGAATATCGGACGATTGAACAAGATCGAGAACCAACACATACACCACCAAAGCAGTTCAGACAAGGKGGACATGAGTGTAGACAATGCATCTAATGCTACTGCTACCAACAACTCGATCGACGACGAGGACAGCGTGGATTCCCAACACGGGGACAGGAAGGCCGACCTCCCGCAGATGGATGCCACCGGTGGAACCTCGGCGACCGAAGCGAGCGGATCCAAGAAGCGCGAGGCCCTGTCGCCCCCTACAGCCGCAAACGCCGCGAAGCGMAGAAAGCTGACCCGGCGTGCCACGCCGTTTGGCTCGAGACGGAATTCCACGGTGGCCGATGTCATTGTCCGCCGGGTTCTCAACAAAGTACGGAGGGCCAGGAACATCTCAAGTCTTCACGCACTMATGTCGTTGCCCCCTGGCCGGGCCCGTCGTTCCAAGCACGACGATATTACGGTTTGTGTAGTCGACCTTGCTGCATTCATCTCGTAAAGAAAGGCAGGTGGAAAACTAACCAACCGTTCTAGCGGAGATTCCTTATCGGATTTCTTGGTCGGGTTCTTGCGGGATCCGATGCTCATCTACAACCGATGGGGTGSGGTAACATTCTGATACTTTAGTAATACACGGTACTAGTGCAGACTCCTGTCTACAATTATTCACGCATTTCTAGTCAGTYATTGAAGTACCTTAACTTGGCAACCAGTATTCGGGCCACAGGGAGAGAGAGAGACGTGTGACCGTCTACCAGTCCGGTTTAAAGCATGGCAACAACTTGTTCCAGCACTACTAGTAGTCGCAGTTCTTGATTTCGCAAAACCACACTCCGCCCGATATTTTGTGGTTCGAMGAATTCCAGGAAAGATACCTACGTACCGGTACGAACTGAAAACTTTCGCAAGGAAAACCAGACATTCCTGTAGCTCCCGTTTTGGATGCACACTTCGTTCGTACCAACTGTATGGAATGTACGTACTATGAGTTATGAGTTCCCATTTCCCATACCGCACAGATCTCGCATCTCATATCCAACCTGTACAGTAAGCTGAGAGTCGTACGGTACGGTAATGCAACTACGAGGCCGCTGTGGACAGACTACAGACCACCCCGTAGTAGTSCAAGGTACGGTAACTTACGCACGGTTACGAGTACAGTACTCTAGCCGCAGAATAGGATTGCTAGCACTTCTGACAGGACAACTTACTGAAACTACGACTACTCTACGATACACTGCGAGGTATTTACCGTACGGTACCGTACCATAACGAGCATGGCAGCAAAAACCATTCAACTATCACTTCGTGATCACGAAAAGTACAAACGACCCGCAACAAACCTCAGCATCAACAGAAAGACCRACACCCGAGACCAAAGCTGCTACTCGGTGCCACCCTTCCAGCGTACCACMCCTAGAACAAAAGCGCGCAAAGGATACACCTTCAACCGTGAAAGAGTGAAGTTTGTTTTGCAGCCACGGATTCTTTGTAGCTTGTTTTGTTTGTCGATCCATCCGATTCGATCCGATCCGATTCGATTCGATTCGAATCCGTTCCATTCAAAACAACATGTCTCCTCCCACCAAGAAGGGGCGCGCAAATGGGTTTGGTTTCGGCATGGATGCTCTGCTGACGGCCCAGGGCAAGGCGCTCAAGTCGGGGGAGGAAATCAGGTTCGTCCTGGTGAAGGGCCCCTCCTCGTCTAAGACGCCCACGAAGGATCCCACCCATGCAAAGGCCCCCATGGAAGCCTTTCCGCTCGTTGCCAAGTTCTCCGAGAGCGTCGTCTCGCCCGATTTCGGTGGCTCGCCGTGGAACACCGCCCGGCTGTACCAGCGGGAGGTTCCCAAAGCGGAAGACGATTCCGATGACGAGGCCGCCTCGGGGCAACCGGGGGCGCAGGTRAAAAGGAGGTGGAGGGCACGCAACCAAAAGGAAACGAGGTGGGAATGGGTACTGCAAGAGAAGGAGGAGTTTATCCAAGACATAAAGAAGGCTCGACAGGAAGCCGCCGGAAAAGACGGGGGTGCCCCGAAGAAAGAAACTTCCTCTGTGTACGAGGGCATGCCCGAGCGGAACGAATCCCAGTTTATTTTGCTAGAAGCCAACACCCAGAGAGACAACAACATCCAGGTGACGGTCCTGCCRACGCCCCATGCCACCATTGCCTTTAGCCAACCAAAGGCAGTMAAAACGCTGAGCATGAGCGAAGCCGAAGCAGCTATAGACAACCAGCGAAGCAAGACCTCGAGGTTCATGATGCACGACCAGAAACGCATCTTTGAGGGACAGGCACCAACCCATCAGTCGCGGAACCGGTTGCTGGGAAAGCTCATGGCAGCGAGAGAAGACGATGCCGATGTCGATGTCGATGTCAAATCGGGAAAGAAAAGCTCGGGCTTGAAACGTAAACGTCTGCCGTATGGCAGAGAGGACGGCGAAGACGATGTCATGGCCGACCTAGGCTTTCGCAACCGCAGTGGCAAGAGTTCTGCGAAGGCTCGGCRGGAACTGCTATCTAGTTTTGGCGATGGCATGAGAGTCGATGCCGACGGAGTGTTGGGTGGTGCCAACGACGCAATATTTGGTCAGCGGGGACAGAGATTCGGAAGCTTCGTGGCCGGAAAAGATGCCAGCAACGACAAAGGATCGGCCGGCGGCGCCGGGTCCAGAAAGGCGGCCGGAAACGACGGGAATGCCATGGCGGACGACTTTTACCAAAGAGACGTCGCAGCGGAATACGAAGAACTGGACTACGATGCCAGCGAGCAGTTCGATGATGACGACGTTAATGTGGGGGAGACGTCGGGGGTCACCGGCGATTCGCACTTTGGTGGCTACGAAGAGGAGGAGGACGACAACCTCGAGGACGATAYACAAGGCGAGCGTTCCACCGGTGCCGAGGGCTTGGCATCGCTAGCGGGCTTGCATCTCTTGAACAGGAAGACCAGGGGAGATATCACCGCCGAGCAGCTGGCAGAACAGGTCGACAAGAACAAGTGGCAGGTGGAAGAGGAAGCCAAGAGACTCGCCGAAAGCGACCGGAGGAWCAAGGACAGGAACTCGGGCAACGACCACTTGGCMAAAATCATGGAAGACGAAGAAAAGGTGCGCCTGGAAGCGGAGAGCAAGGCCGCCAGTGCGGCGGAAGCAGCGGCGGCCAGTRCCACCAGCGGATCATCTGGAGAGAATGGTGCGCGCGGAGACGTTAAGCAGCGCAAGACATTGAAATCGGTGGACGAGAACGGCCTGCGCATTATCTCCCTGGAGGCCGTGCGGCACGAAATCTGGCTTACGGGCGGGAAAATGGCCATGAAGAAACTCTCAAAGGTTTTCCCCGTGAAAAAAAAGGACCGCCAGAAGAAATTAAAGGACGTGATTTTAGAGTTGTGCACTATCGAGCACGATCCTGTAGAGGGATCAATGGTGGTTTTGAAACAACATTACACCAGGGGCGATTGATACCTATCTAGTTCAGTTCTACTGGATAGGAAWGAATGTTGCATCACAAGCACACGTGTATAGCCCAGCAAGATGTACGAGGAATGCTCTGATTTTCTGTGCGACAACATTCACCGAAGGCCACAGCCATRTTACTTGAATCATCACGTATGCCGAYGCAATTGCAGCCGCTACCTGTATTCAAATTTTAAAATTATGATTTTATTTCTTTTTTATTTTATGATTTATTGAACTCCGATCTGGTAAAAGTTACCGAGGCCTGATTATGCATTGTGTTGGCTGCATTTCTGCAGTGCCGTGTTCTGTGAATTATTGTGTAAATTGTGATGTAGGTGTGGTATGCGTTGTGAGTATGTAGGTGTGAGCATTCACATKTATGCGTATGCACTGTGATGCTATGTTCTTGGAAGGAATTAATACTACGATAGCTCCCGCGACCGTAGCTTTCTGTCCCTGGCGTGATTTATTGTTGGATAGATTTTATTCAATAGCTGTGGTTTCCTGACGAGTGTGTTTCCATTTTCCCCCTTTTGCCCTTTTTAAGGGAATGGTTGTTTCCTGTGCTGTCCTCTGCTGTGTCCAACGCAAGCAGTCCCCTTGCTTTTATTCGTGAAAGGATCTTTTACAACCCATCAGGAAGGAACGAGGCGAAGTGACGAACAAACTTCCACCCACTACGTTCTGGCGTTGTTTTTCGAGGCGATGCGAGCGATAGTCCAGGTCCATGTTGTTGTGGACTTGCTGCAAAATTCCTGGAAGGGATTGTGTGGGTCGCGAAGTTTCTACTAGGTTGGGCTGCGGCCGGGATACCGGTCTCACGATGGCTGGTGGCAGCGGCGAAGGTGCTGCATAACTATGGGTTACATGCGATATGTTGTGGTTCATGGTGCCTCCCGAACTAGAAGGTTTGAGAGCATAGGGATTCGGTCCAGAGGGAATTTCCTTCGGTGTGTCGTATAAGTCTTCKGAAGGTAGTGGTGGAAGGATCCCATCGTTTGAGGCGAAAGAATCTCGTTGCTCCAAGACTGTTTCGTTCGAAGATTCCGAGAATGTACTTTGGAGAAGAGGGTAGTCGGTCTCTGACTCACCCATGTACTTCGAAGCAAGATTGCCATAGTAAGATTGCGGATTTCGCATCTGCATATTTCCTCCATACTGGAAGTCCGATGGTCCAGCACCGGGAAATCCAGATGTGTTGTAGTTGTAATCGGGAAGGATGACGTTGCAACTTTTTCTATGGATGTTGCTATCGTACGAGCCTCCACGAAATCCATCCGGACCGCGTGATTTTGTGCTGGCGTTGACGCTAAACTCTGCTTCGGAAGGGTCGGAGAGATTGATCTGGACGACCGATGAGTTCGAAAACTTGCTATGGACTCTGTTTTTGAAGTCGCTGTTGTATGTTTTTTTAAAGAATTGCTTATTTCCTCCCTCCGCATTTTTTTGCTTTCGTCGATTGCTCCCCCCACGACAGCCACGAGGCCGATGACTTCTTCGACGAGACTTTCCGCTGTTTCCACTGTTCCCGCTTCCCCGTGAACTATCAGAAGACCCGGAGTCTGTTCTTGATCGATTGCTCGTGTACATCAGTTGGTCATTAGAATTGCCATGATTTGTTTGGTAAGAAAAATGCTGAACCATTTTCGGTATGTAATGATGACGTACAAAAATAATCGGGGAAAAGCCTGTCGATGGAAGGAAACTATGATTAGATTCGATCAAGCATTGATTTCATGACTGCTGACGATTGGATTCAATTCAAATTTCTTTGTCCAACTTCATGATACTGACATMGATTTTGATATGGCCTTTTCAGTCGCCGAATTTGTGCGAGGGGCGATCGCTGGAAACCTTTTCGTGAGCGCGGCTGGCGCTTTTGATCATCGCTCGATTTTATTTTTAAGCCTTACAAAGTTTCRTTTCAGATTGCAAAGCTATGTGGAATATCGCCAAAGTCAGCTTTCGATTACTAGCAGTTTGATCATCTAGTTAACCTACTGTTCGGTAGCATTAGTGCCTGCACCAGCATAGCATAGCAAGAACGAAGTACGTACGTAGGGTACGAGTACTCGTACGTACTGATGCAAGTACGAGCACTAATTATTTATTATTTATCGCGAGGCGTACCAGGTACTCGTACGTACATACAAGTACTATTTTTGGTACTCTTAACTCTTACCCATGAAAGAACCTAGTCGTACCGTACGTACGTACCGGTACTGCTTTGCTGCTTTACTATACGTCCGTCCCTCTATCAGAATTCGTAGTACCGAGGTAATGTACTTGGTACGTACAGGTAGATACGAAATACGAACCGTAATCCAAGTTGTATCAAACTAACATAACTATCATACCRTACGTACCGTATGGTAACCAGGAGCCCTGTCGTCTATCGTCTACGTAATGTACTGAAGTATCGTCTATCGTTGATCGGTGTACGGTGTGTACCGGTACGTACCGTACGTATCGTGCAGAACGAGTTATCAGACGAGAGCCAACATGATGGCTTTTTTGAGTCAGTCGAAAAGATCCAATTCCGGAACCTCGTACTGTACGGTACAGTACGGTACCATACGAGTTTCGAACTTCATATTCTTTGTTTCCGGTACGAGTAAGAATATCGTACGGGGGTCTAAATTTATGACCCCTTCCATACGATAGCCACTGCTCGTCACTATCGTACTACTCGAAAASTTTGCAGTCGTCACATCTATTTTTGCACGAGTTCTTATGTTCTCATCATTTCGAATGGAGCACGAGCGGTTGATGAAGCTAGTCCGTCTTCATATGACATAGCCATCTCGGTAAAAGTTCGAGATTAGCGAAACAGTAGCACGGAATATTTATGTGACGTCCGCTCCCTGATCACCATGAAGATCTTTTCGGCTTTCGGARTCCACTTGCATGCATCAACGGTATGCTTGGCATTTCAGTCATCGAATATCTGGACGACGAAACAGATTAAGAAGGTTGAACCAAGCACTGCTTTCGTCAACTTCGTTTCTTTTAGCAATGGCGACTCTTGCGGTCTTGGAAAATCTCAGAGATTTCTCGCTTCTCTTCAGATGAGCAACAATGCTGGAGACGACGATGACGACGACGACACCGATGAATACATCGAAGATGTGGATCTTGGCGACTGGAGATCGTTTCGAAAGACCCTTGTCGATTCTGGTATTTCATACGATACTACCAAGGATGGATATCTGGACAAGGATGCGGAGAAAAGCGAGACTTCCACAATTAGCAACACGGGATCGTCCATCGAGAGACCGAAGTCTGTGTCGAAAGCGAACGAAGAATTGCTAGAGAAGCAGAGTGAAATACTTGCGAAAGAATACAAAGAAGGAGTATGGGCACACGAGGCTGCGTTTGCCGAAGTTGGTGGACTCGTTGTCCGCATGCCATTGGAAGCAGAAATCTACAGGAACAAAGATCAATTGATAATAGGAAAGGAGCTATCTGCTCGTCTCCCAACTGACGAACAAACAAGTAAGAATGTTCTCGACGAAGATATTTCACCGATCGCCGCGAAGACTCTAAAGTGGTACCGTGAAGCCCAGGCATTAATTCAGGAAGAGATGGGAGTTATTGCTGGCAGTGCGAATGAAAAGGGAGAAGTTGATCCGACGGGGCTGCCCGCCAAAACAGAGGATTTACTCAAGTTGTACCTGAACAACCAAGAAAATTGGCAGAGCGTATGTCTAGTTGCGGAAAAGAACGAAAATGATGGCAGTGCTGTTACCTACACATTGAATCGACCCATGGCTTTCAGTTTGTCAGAAAATGTTGCGAAGATGGTTCTATTTGGCGCAATGAGCAATTTAATTACGGACGGAAGAGTGCCGATATCAAAAACGAATCTGTATAGTAAATTTCTCCGCTCTTTTGAAAAAGAATGTGCGGTCTATGTTGGAGGCCCCAATAAGCAAGACAAACCAGCTGTTGTGATTCATGGAATACAGGACCTTGAGGGAGCTACCGAAATTGCATCGGGTACGGGTGTGTACATGGGTGGGTTAGAAGCAGCTATTGACGGTGTGTTGGATGGACGCTATAAACCACTTGACTTTAGATTCTTYATTGGTTGCAATAGTTATCAGAAGGGTGGACTCGATGCAGCGATTGCATCGAACAAATATCAACCTATTGCTTGCACAAGATCACTTGCTTTGAAGCAGTGCATACAATTGCCAAAACCTTTGTGGCATGAAGTCATGGAGATGTGTGGTGGTGAACTGATGGAAGTATCTCGTTTAGAGCTTCAGAAGAGGAGTGACCTGAATCCGGAATAGAATAATCGAGAAGGCCATACCAGAATAATGTATTCGCTGGTACGAACAAATTGGAGGAGTAAWAGCCGCACAGATTCCTAAGTTAGACATATCTAGTTTTACTTGAACGTCCCATTATTTACTAAWCACTCGTCAATAGTTTCATTTAACCCTCCATAAAATATGACTGCTTACAACACATTGGCCTAAGTGTAGTTGTTCCTCACTTCCTGCACTTAGCCTGAGTTATTGTAGCCTTGTCTTTCCTTCTTCCGTATGGCTCTGGTTGGACTGATGCCACGGGACATTCTGGGCCTCTTGGTACCGTGGTACCGTATGGTTGTACCCCTGAGGTTTGGGAGTGCTAGATCTAAATGGTCAGTTATTGGCACTTTATCGTGTTTGCCGAAACTAGGATTTGACTAATGTGATTAGATCTACGAGTAGTGAAATGTGTAATGGTCTAGAGTTTGCGCGGTGGCGTATTGGCGCTGTTGACCCATTACTGTTTTGCGACTGGTTTTCCTCCATTGGAACGCCTACTTGTTTGGTGGTAGGCCCATTGTATTCCAGCGGGACTGGGGAACGCGAAAGTATTGCGGTGAAGGACTGCCACGGTAGGATGAGACATGATGTGACACAGGAAAATTCACCACAACACATCATGTGCATCACCACCACAGCAAAGACCTAACCAAAGCACCAAGAGAATCCGGTGAAGACGCAACGACTCACTGCCAAACAGAACATACAGCAACCAACACACAAGGCACCCAACCGTGTCCACCAACCCAACACCTCTCCATTACCCACAGGACAGTCCGCCATGCTCATAACGCCACAAACAATAAACCAACAACCAATAACCAAACAACACCCTCCCACCTCGGAACCCCACCGAACTAAAAAACCCAAACGGTGCTACCGGAACCCAAAAATCGCCAAATAGAATGCAAAATTCGCCAAACCACTCCAGGCGTTCTGTTTGGCGGTGAGTCGTTGCGTCTTCACCGGATTCTCTTGGTGCTTTGGTTAGGTCTTTGCTGTGGTGGTGATGCACATGATGTGTTGTGGTGAATTTTCCTGTGTCACATCATGTCTCGTCCTACCGTGGCAGTCCTTCACCGCAATACTTTTGAGAATGAAGTCAAGGCTTGTTGAGGCACGAGGGTCTTGAGTTAGTGGGGCCTTCGGCTTTCGCGGTGCCGGGTCGTCTGGTTCCGTCTTTTGTCTGTCCGTCGTTTCCAATACTCCACGATCGGTATTAAAACTAGAAATGTGCATGCCTATGCGAGGACGAAAATGCAACTGGACGAAATTGCAACTTTCCAGTTATTTTTTTCATTCAGGCATTACTACTAAAGTACGACTGAAACTAGTACCAAATTACCCTACTTTTTAATACTGTCTATCTCTGCAATTAAATATCAGTTAAAGACCTAGTTTTTGGCAGGATTCATCTTAACACACAAATGAATGTATTGGTCATACTGGGTATTGAAGATTATTTGAAATCATTATTATTACACCTACAATACTACTAGTAAGCCTACTACTAGTACACAGCAAGTCACCAGTAGTAGTACAACTGAGCTCCATTCAAGAAAGCACCTCCTACACAAAAGGGCTTCCAGATTATTAACCTACCAGAGGAAATATGAGTAGATAAAGTCCACCCATTACCTAGCGGGATGTGAGGCATCAACATCCATATYGCCCATTATCTGAGCAATGCTCCCACCAATCTGGACAATTTGTTGAYAGTGGCTTCACTACTAGTACTACTAGCAAGTGGTGTTGATGGATGACCAGATGTTCATGCAATGATGTAGACAAGCAATGCTCCCTTTCTTGGAAACCCAACTCTGCAAAAGCTTCTTTTCATGGATACACTTCTTCAGCATCACACAAGAAACTGATATTATGGTGTGAATATTTCCCTGCGTCCATCAAATTAAATTTTTGCACGTATTTTGCACTACTCCTATGCAAATATAGGGCCCATATCCATGGAAAATGTTCTCCAACCACACATTTCTCATGAAGGGTCCAATGCCTGTTCTTGCAGCTATTTCCAATTTTTATTCCAATCATTTGACAAGTACCTTGTGTTGTCACCACAAACCTTTAATTGGATTACCTTTATTCCTGTACTAAGATTCAAACTCTTCTCCCCTGTTGCCAATTCTCTGTCCCAGAGTGACAACTCTTCTACTGCTGCTGCTAATTCTGTTTCAAAGTTCAACAATTATTTCTAATCCAAAAAGAAAATTCCAATGCATGTCATTATTTACTGTTGTATTGCTTTAGTTTGGTATTTATACTACTACTAGTAGTACCAGTTGCACCTTCAACCTCAGTTCATTKAAGATCTTGTTATCCTCCCAAAAGTTTTTCTGATCAAAATTATTTTCCCTTTTGTGCATTTTTCATTTTCTATTATTTATATACTCCTTATCCTCTCCATTGTCTTTAGTGTACTCTGCCCTTAGTGCTTGTTCAATCTCTACTGAACTATCCTTGGCTCTTTGCTTCTTTACTTCTTCAATTAGCTTCCCAAACAGCATATATCCCTTGTAGCTCCAGCCCTCKTTGTTACCAGCAATCCTGCTGTTGGCGAATCATTTTCTGGTTTTCTTTCCACTTCCAGAATTATTCCACAATTCATGATAGTTGTTGTACAAAAACAGTAATGCAAAARCTTTGTCCATTGCAGTGAAAATGGTGCTTAGTTTATCCCTGTRTCACCTTTGCTTGAATTCAGTTTGTTTAGGGGACACTCCCCCTAAGATTCTTGTTACAAAGTACTTGAATTCCGGACTATTTTTTAATCTGTAGCAACTTTTCAACATGTAGGTCTCTCCATCAGCTCCTTCTGGTGCTATGAAGCTATTGCCGCTGAACAGATCTGGTATTATATTGTTCTTTTTGTCATCTGTACATGACAAGCAGAGATTGATGGTTGTCAGAAACAAAAAAGCTCACTGGTGTCAGACACCATAATGCCTACTATTTCCTTTGGTTTTGCTTACCCTTGTAATTTTTCCTTCCCAATGTTTGTGCATTGTTTCTGTAAGCAGTGATTGCACYGTTGACAGTCCCTCCCCAAGGTGCTGCAGAGACCACCAAGCTATCTGGAACAGGGTCTGTACCAAACATACTTTGAAGGTTTACTGTAATGATGSCTTGTACAATGTCATCTTCAATGGGGAACTTTGTGTAGTTATAAAAACTTTCCTTAACACACTGCACCAGTATATTTTTCATGACTAACTATGATGATTTGTACATTCTTGGATTRCCCCGATCACTGCATCTTCTTGATGCCCATCTATGTTGTTTGTCTGGTAATCATTGTGGTGAGTACTGGTATCAATGCTCTGATGGATGTATCAGCTCCTACAACTTAGTAAACCAACACAGAAGGATGCATACTGATCATTTTTCTTAGGGGTCAAATATTGTAAATACAGTGGGCTCATCACCTCCCATGTTGTCAAAGAAATATTTTCATCCAATCTTTTGTCAAACAAAATACTATTTATGATATTTGAAAATTTTTATTAGCATTAATTGTAATTTTTTGTTTTCTTACAATTTTATGCCAAATTTCCCTAGCCTTCTTGGTACAAACATCAGTTCAGGGTCAAAATTTTCTGGCACGACAGCTCTTGAAAGATTTTCTAGGGATACTGCTGTTCCAAAGTCGTATGTATGTAATCAAGTGAACTGATTCATCCCCTTCCACCAGTACCATATTTGTATCACATCTTCCGTCTGGCTGAAGAARTGTAACTCCTTTTGATACCAACAAATTGTACCTGCAATACCCTATGGTTGGCTGATTCTTCCAACACAATTTTTCTGCTTTCCCCCCAAATTAAATTTGAATTCCTTCCWTATTTGAATTTCTGGTTTGAACTCCAACTCAAAAACCCACACTAACACAATGGAGAACAGCATTCTGGGACCTGYCCTTTTCTCTTATATATCACTTGGTCTAAAAGTCATGTAACATAAAACCATGGTGCCAAATCAAAACCCCTTAGCGCTTGTAGCATTGTGTACTGTCTCAAAAACACGCTGGGGAAAKGTGTTCCTGGTTTTGACCGTTTCCACCAGAGCTGTAATAAATGGAAAAATCTGAGAAGATGGCACTGTTACCAACAATCCTTATTGTTGAYCACAAGCACCAACTTGATTGAAATTCTCACCCCATGTAAAGGTCAAATTCCTTCTTTCTGTTTTTGGAGCATAACTTGTCTCCTTGCTGTCTGCACTGGCGTCAATAATGAGTACACTTCAACCATGACTAACCTTTGACCACTGATAGGTGACATTGTCTAAGCATGGCGTATCTGGAAAGAGAAGCAGAAGATTATTGAGAAAGCCGTGGAGGATGCTTTGGGAAACAAAGACTACTGCGATGATAATTTTGGCCTTGCGGTGAGTGGACAGGTCATCACACCATTTACGGAACTCGCAACTTGTGTTTACATTGGCTGCCAGCAACATAGTTGTAACTTGTCCATCTATCAAACAAGCGTCTAGCAAAGAAGCTGGCCATATTCCAAGGAACATTTGCCCCTCAGCAGTCAATAGTATGTTCCTTTGCAATGGCATCTCAGGCAATGGAACTTATTTGGGAATCATCCCACGTAATCAGTTTTGAAAGCTTTTGGCACATTACAACTTCAAAAACAGATGGRACAATTTCAACAASCTGTTGTCAAGTAACAATCTATTCCTGAAGACCACACCATCAGACAGTGACTCTTCTACCACTTCTACTTGTGTAACAGCCAAGACCATTATCAAGTACTTGACATTCATCAGAGATGTTGCAGAARTTCAATCAAAGCTTGACAGTTAGTGTTTTCAAAACCAAAGTGGATGACTTTGTCAAAAAAAKGGAGAAAACCTTGGGTTTCATCAYGAGAGACATGGTTCTTAAAGACTTGGTCCACTYGGCATCAATGATTCCTACTAGAGTATGTAAGKTTATGAATAAGAATYGCTGGTACACCTTGATGCAGGCRATTGGTGGTGGTGCGGCTCTACAATTAACATTGCTTTCCACAGAATTGAAGGTCAGATTGAACCTAATTACAACAAGTTCAAGACCTGTAACCCTGTTGCTGGGTGGTTGCTCAAGATGTGGCAAGATTTCCATTTGTCAACAAACAGTATTGCATTTTCTACTATTCTGTTTTATATGCACTGCCATCCCACAGTCCTTGCACATGGCTTTTCTACGCAGACTTTCTCTCCTCTCTTCATGACAGTTACTTTGTCATTATGTCATTGATTTACCATGTAACAGGGAACCACACAATTTGTACTGTTGGGTCTGCCAACACCAAGGAGGGTGAGATTTGTCTACCATATAATCAATCTGTCCTCTTCATGCTATATAAATACCAGGAGTCACTATTATGTTACCACATGATTGATGTCAAACACAATGGAAGCATCTATGTTTTTTAAATTCTGATCTGAATGTGGATTGCAAATCCAATATTTGTACAAAAATATCAATATATTCCACTACTAGGACCCTTTGACTCCCCCATATGACTAGAATACTCTCTTAATTCTCTTTCTTAGCAGGTGCCTATCATACTTAAGCATCCATTTGGGACCAAGATACAGCTTCAAACTGTCAGTTGAAGATGAAAACAGTTACTACGCATTTTGTAACAATTGAAACCGGACTCGTCATAGGGCAAAAAGCTTTAATTTCAAGTTGTAAACTTCAATTTAAGTTATGAACTTCAAATGTCCTGGTAGAAAGTCTACGAGGTTCTACTGAGCTAGTTTTTGGATGGCATTCATGATTGAAAGGCTGGATTCATGATTGAATCACCTTGGAACCATTTTTTTGTTTTGAGGGGGCCCGGGAATCAATTTGCCTGGCCATTCAGCAGTCATTTTAAAAAACTAGCTCAGTAGAACCTGGTACATGATGTACAAGCAAAAGTTCATTACTTCAAATTGAAGTTTAGAACTTGAAATTAAAACATTTTGCTCTCTGGCAAGTCCGGTTTCACCAGTTGTTACAGAATGCGTAGTAGTATATGGTTAAATTATACTTTGCATAGATTTTGGG